GCTGAGGACAGTTGAAATGGAAGATGCAAGTATGCAAGCTACGCTGTTGTGACAGCTCTCTTGACAAGCATGCCATTTGTTTTCTGCTGTTCTGTGACTGAAGAGTTATATGAGTCTTTCTGCTTTTTTCCCCACAAGTCAAGAACAAACTCTTTAAAGAATTCACCATGAAGAGCACTAGTTCAACTGCAGCATTGCAGAATCTCCAATGAGATGCTTGTCATTGGCTCTGTAAGAGCTTAGGAGTTTGCAGGAATAAAAGGCACTGTATAAATGAGTGTGTCCTAGTTAAAGATCCAACAACCTGTGTAGTGTTGCTTTCAGTTAGCTCAGGCCTAGTAACTAATGATAAATGAATTTAATCTTTTCTTTAAAATAACCCATTAGTACTAACATACTTGCCGTAAAATTGAAAATCTGCTGAAGCTTTGGTTATAACTGGTAAAAAATGCCATTGGGCTTCAGATGGGTTGGAAAAATTGTAATTGGGGCAGTTATACACAAATGAATTGGAAACAGATTCATAGATTGGATTCTTTTTTGAACTGAAACTATGTAGATACTACAGGCTATTTGTTCTTTGAAAACACTTTTGTACCAGGAAAGAAACTTACAGATCTAATAGGGATTTATTACAAGAACTCCGTAAATATTCTAAATAAATATTCTAAAATTTTTGAGTGTTCCTACAACTGAGTCTTTGAATTTCACTTCTATTTCATTTTGGAGCAGGGGAGTGAGAACAGACATAGCAGTTAAATCTTGTCAATTCAAAATGTCTTTTTTTCAGTGAGACCAGTGAAATTTTGCAGTACACCTCAAGTGAGATAGAAGATGTGGAGAAGGTAAGATTTTGCAGCACATGTGTTGGTTATAAAGTTGCCTTTACATGTGAAAAGATTTGTGGTCTGTCTTGTTTTGGTCTTGTCATCTTTTCTGGATAATCAATGTGACAAATGCCAAAGTGTTAATGATAAGTCAAAATTGATTTTTTTTTTTTTAAAGTTCCAAGAGTAAAAGGCAAAGTATCCATCATTCAGTTTATATTCTCCAATCGCTTTGGTGAGACAAGCTAGTCCTGGACCAAGCCAGATAAATTGCCATTTCATTGCCAGAAGTAAATCATCTCCTAGTATGTAACAGGACTAACCTGAGGTGACTGCTTCCTCCTACTCCAGGCTGTTATTTCCAGAGCAGGTGCAGCATCTTTGCCTATTTCAGCAGATGTTCTTGCTGGGGGCGTAATTGAAGTCTTTCGCCTCCCGATAGTGAACTTTTCTCTGTAGTTGTTGCCTGCTGTCTGGATATAATTTCAATGCCCAAGCCTGATGTAATTCTGAACAGGTTTGTAGTGTCTCTTCCAGCTGTAGGGATGAAATTTTAACACTGAATCTCTCAAATTTCCTGAATTCTGCAGTGGTAATAAGGGTATCAGCTGCACTGAAATTTTCCTTTTCTAATATGTTTTGCTATTTTAAGTGTGTTCATCCTCTCTGCTTCTGGCTTTTCAGCTGGGATCCTTCAGGGGTCCATTTAATGCTTTCTTTGCCTCTTTTATAGAGGTTAAAAAATGAGAGGCAGGTTATATTGTTTTCTGTTTGAGGAAACAGCCCCAAACCTTTACATATTAGTAGATGAGTCATCCTAATAAGCTGGAAAGAGAAGTGTCAGGGTGAAAACTTGCTATTTGGGAAAAGGGGAGGAAAGGGAAGAACAATAAACTGATTTGCATTAGTAGGATATATTTAAAATATTCTCATTTTAGCAGGTACTTACTACATGCTATTTAGGGACTGTACGTATAATGGTACTTTTAACAATATAATGGTACTTTTTAATGGTTTCAATACTGTGCTTAGGCTGCTTGTTCCAAGCTTGCTTTTTCTCCGCTCTATTTGTACTGATGGGAGGATGATGATTTCTTTTAATAGCACCCCCCCGAAACAGCTTATCTAGGAGAGCATCCTTGCCCTTTGGAAAGAACATAATCTTTATGGAGGTAAATATATCAAGTTGGCAGCCCAGCCCTGGTAACAGGGTGCTTGCCGAAGGCCCATGCAAATGGCATTACTTTGGTTCTTTTCCTTCATGAGTGAGCCAGTAAGTTATGCTTTGAAGTAGAACTTAAAATATGCGTTTATGTTTGGCAAAGGCTGTAGGCCTGGAGCACACCTAGGTATCTTCCATAACTCACTCCTTCCTTTTTTTCCTTCTTTGTGTGACTTGGTTTGCTGGCTCTGAGGCTCCCCAGGTGAAAGCCCGCAAGCCATCTGATTCGAATTACTACCAGCTACTCCAACAGCACAGAAAAGAGTGGCAAAAATCAAAGGGAAAAGGGAAAACTGTCCTTTCAATATGTGTATCACATCTGTGAATAATGAAAAATTCCCTATTGTCCCTACTTCGTCAGCAAATTTAGTCTTTAAGCAATACAAATGTCTCAAGTGAAATGATTGTTCAGTTAGTTATGTCTCTAAACTACCTCCTCTTACCATAAAATGTAATACTTGTGATAGGGCCCTCGCAGTTGACTCTTTTGTAATAACTTTTTTTTTATGGTCCTTGCAGTTTAAGTGGTGATAAATGGAATTTAACATTCTCTCGCACTGCAGGGAATAGCTTACTGTGGATTTAGTATGTGGCAAAGAATGGCAACTTTTCGTTTGTTACTTGCATTATTGCTGGCACCTGTTTCCTTGATAATGGAACAACAATTTATCATCAGGATTTGGGTCTTGACTCAAGTAGCTCTAGAGCTCTATTGATCCATTCCTTCCCAAGTTGTTTCAAAGTATTATCCCCACCTCAAGAATTTATAAGGTAGTGTTGGTGCATCCTCCCGATTTCCTTCAGATCCAGTCAGCTGTGTGCAATTTCATCATGCTTGTGTTAAGCAATTATCCAGTGTGCCAGCAAAGATGTGTTTTCTGCTGGAACCAATCAGTAAATGAAGCTCAAATACAGTATTGATAACCCTTGAGTGCTAGATCAGTGGCTTACCGAGGTGGTTTTACTTGTGTGAGTCATCCTCGGTGCAGTGCTATGAGTTTTGCCTTTACTTTTCTGCTCAGGTTGTGTGCTTGCACGAGTAGTTTTTGATGACCCATCAAAATAGGAGCCTCTGGACTTGTGTTACTACTCTAAGTACATTAGGATACTCCAGCCTGAAATAGTAATCAGTTTCCACTGTGTGTGCCCTGAGCACCAAGAAACAATTGCCACAAGGTGGAATAGCCAGTTGCTGGGTAGTAAATTGCTCCTCTACCTTTTCTTAATGAATGTATTACTGAGCCTTTTGGGGAAAACAAAACAAAAAGCAAATTTAACAAAAAATAGCAGCTGGGGGGGGAGGTGGCACTAAATTTTGGATATTTTTGTTTCACCTTCATGGTACGTGTGAGGTCTGGTCAGACCACTTTCTAGTCTAATTTTATCCTCTGATTCCAGGTGATTGAAGATATTGAGTACCTGAAATTTGAGAAGGGGCCCTGGCTGGAGCAGGATGATGTTTCTTTCCATAATTTAAGACTTCAGTAAGTATGGTATCTTTGAATAACATACTGCTACTAAGCATCAGAGCTCTGAGAAGAAAGTGCCTAGACTTTTTCTTGAAGTTTGTTTATATTTGCACTGTGACTCTCTTTAGCAAAAAATCAGGAGTGATAGCAAGGTTTTGTAACCTGGGTGCTTGATGCTGTGATATGGGTGTGGGGTTTTGCTGCTGCTACTTGATAGTTGATGGACCAGAGACTGCAAATAAATAGTACCCATTTGGTAAATGAATCAAAAAAAAAATTTAGTCATTTCCTAAGTGCTTTCCTGGGGGAGCGTGGTGTTATGTGGGGTTTTTCTTTGTGAGTTCTCATGTGTCTAGATGGTCACAGTATGCAAAAAGGTAGGTAACTGTAAGATAGTCCTGTTCAGATTGGCTGGGTTCGAAGTGTTTTCTTCTAAAACTAGCCCAGTTTGTTATATGCTGAACTTTCTGTCCTTAACTATATTTCAGTAGTCAGGAAGCTGGCTTAAGAGAACATAAAGGAAGAAGGAAAGAGGCAAACTAGGCCAACTGGTGAAAAAGTTGTTGGTTTTTGTTTTTTTCCTCCTTTTCCTAACCCCCAGTATATTAGGAGGTTATAGAAACTTTAATCCTGATTTGCAGAATGAAGTTTTGCAGTTTTGTCATTCATTCTCAATAATAACGAGGACAATTTTGAAGTGTGTCATTTCAGGTTGTTCTCTATGTTCTTTATGACTGATTTTCCAGCATGCTGTGTGCCTGTGGGCTCTCCTGCTCCATGCACTGGCACATGCTGCCCTCTCGTGGGTGCTAGACTGATGATGAATCCTGTGCTGGGGTGATTCTGGAATGGGAAGCATGGTCAGAAAGCACTTGGCTGTTTTCCTAGTTGTGCTTGCTTGCTTTTCCATCTCCCAGGGTTTGGCACAGCCCACTCATTTTGACTTTGGCTATTTCAGGTCTGATGCTACTTGAAAATTCCATGTGTGCTGACCTGAGCTTTGCGGTGGGGGGCAGTGTGTGTATTTTTTTTTCCAGTTTCACTTCTGGTTTGTCGCTTAGCTCTGGGCAGTTGTATTTTATACCCCTTCTGCCTCCAGTTCCTGCTAACATGTTGTTTGGAAGAAGGGGGATGAAGGGCAAGTGAGGATAACTTTTTCATTACTCTTAGATAGTGTTGACATATGGAAACCCTAGCAGTACCTCAGACTACTTTGGTAGTGCAAATAACAAGTAAGTTAATCAAACCAGTGAGCCTCATCCTTTTAGCATCAGTTGCATAACAGCATCTTTCATCTCCCACCTCGCCCTCTTGTCATTTCTCTCATGCCCTAACAGGAGGTAGGGTGGCAGGAGCAGGCTTGTAAGTCATTGCCCTTCCTTTGAGAAGGTCTGGGACATACGGGGACAGGGAGGGAAGGAGGATTGGAGGGGGCAGCTTCCTGCGGTCCCTGAATGAGCGCAGGACTAGAGGTGAGTGTGAAAGGAGATCAGCCCGCCTGTTTCTGAAGCTGCTTTCATGGATGAGTGTAGAATTCAGCTTGGGGTGAGTTGTGTTGCTGGCTCTAAGTGTTTTAGACAAACGAATGCTTCTAGGTAGAAGCAGGGTTTTCTGTTTTTGTGTATTTTTTCATTAAATTTTTGTAATAATGCCAGCATCAATTGTTGAGAAATCATGATTTGGGCTATGCAAAATGTCTTTTTGCTTGTTGGTTTGTTTTCCAAGCAGTTTGCATCCCACAAGCTTGCCACCTTGCACCTTTAATGGTTATGTTCATAAGACATCTAGCTGTCATTGTGGGAGGCATAGGAAAATTGACCACATAGGAAATTTTAGAAGGAATACCCAGCCATTATGAGAACTGCAGTAGCTTCAGGACAGCCCACAGTACTGGTGTGTGCTCAGGGTTTTGCTGGTTCTCTGCAAATACTATGCATCCATGCTGTAAACTCCCTTGAGGAGAAGCAGGAGTTCCTGCTCTGGAGGAGAGGCAGGTATGTGGCTCAAGGCTTGGTGGTTGGTTACCTGCTCACACAGCTTGCCTCAGCCCGTGCCACAGATGCTTTGGCAGAAAAGAGGAGAGGTATCCAGCACTGTAACATAATTGCAAGTCTGACTCTTTGGCCTGTGTAACAGTGAGAAAATCTCTAGCTAGTTGGGTGGTGAATTGTTTTAAAAATGATAAAGCCCCCAGTTTCTACATTATTAGAACTACGTAGTGGTCTGTGTGTTCTCAGTTATTTTTGAAATTTCACATAATATTAGGGGTAGATGGAACCTACTCTGGGTAGTTATGCAACTGCACTGTGAGCAAGCTGTGAGTAGAAAGTATGGTAAGTGCCAGAAAATAATGAACAGTGATTCTCTGGTGCTGTGAAAGAGAGGAAACTAAGGAAACTTCTCAAGTGCCTTTAAATGCTTCCTG